ATTTTTATTTGTCAATTCATTATTTACTTACAAGCTATTTAAAGTTGATGTGTCAGTGTATTTTGTTACAATGGAAAAACAGTGATAACATTATTTGTTCTAGAAGGTTTATCAGCAACAGAAATTCATTAAAAAATAATTAAAATATTAAAGAAATCTACTTCTTTATTTTCAACTGTGCACCAATTGGTTGTACAAGCGCTGAAGATGGGCTAGAAATTATTGAGCAAGTCTATGATATTATTTTTAAAGATCCAAATTTAACTAAGCATAAAATTGCTGATACCATAAGCATCTCAAATGAATGAGTACTCCATATTTTACTTGAATTAGTTAGTGTACCGCATTTGTTAACAATTTAACAAAACTTTTCAATTCAAATTTAAAAACAAGTTTCTCAGCTTGATTTTGTTTTTTTTTTAAATTTGGAGCAGAATAAAATTACATAAAAATTTTTTTTCTTAAAAATAACAAAGTAAAAACATACTAGGTGTGTTTGAATTATCCATTAGTATTATGACCAAATTAATCACTTGTCTATATAGTAGCGTAGGTTTTGGTTTTAACAAACCATTAAATTGTCATAGAACTATTGAAACAATCCTGATGCTTTTTAATCTTATAAAACATAATCTTTAATTTTTGATATTTTTCAATATCAAGAACTAGAAAAAGGAGCGAATCAAAGTTTCTATAACCCGAAATCCAATTATTTATAGAATTTTATTTTCTTGAACCACCAACACGAAGAAATCTTATTAGATGTGATCTGTTTTTACAAGAAAGAAATAATAAAAACAAAAGAAAATATCCGATAAGATAATGAACAATGTTAGTTGGATTTTGTTAAAAAATTTGTCAAAAACAAACCCAGTTTAAAAAAGAAGAAATAATTTTTCACCAAGACAATGTATATGTTTGTACAAGTTTTTTAATGATGGTTAAATTGAATAAATTAAATTGGAGTTGCTTGAACACCCACTGTATTCACCAGATTTGGCTTCAATTTTTAGCTTTTAAGAAACTTGAAATAAATCCTTTGTAAAAAGCATTTTTTATCCAGTGAAGAAACTATTGCAGATGAGAATCAGTATTTTGCAGATCTGAAAATCATTACAGAGATGGTATAAAATCATTTAGAGGATCATTGGAATAAATGTGTTCAAGTTAAGAGAGATCATGTTGAATTAAAAAAACAAAAATCATTAAAAAATACATATTTTATGATTTTTGCTTTCAAAATTTTTCAACCCACTTGTAATATTGTGTTTTGTATCCTTTTTTTGTATGTTTTATTTGTTTGCAAAAGCCATTTTGTTATGGTATCAATCGTTTTATTACACATATACCTTTCACTGTATCCATTATTACTTTTTCAAAAAAATTAAAATTTTAAAATTTGTATAATTACTTTTGAAAAATTCTCAGACTTGTTCACAAAATGAGTCCTCTTCATTGTGCCTTCTGGGATTATCACTCACTTATTATTTTCTAACTCCTGATTTCATTTTCTTTACCTTATTATCATGCATTTCTAGATCTCCTTTTCAATTTCTTTAAGTACTGCTTACAGAAATAACTTCTACTATAGGTCAGGTCAGGTTCAGGATCATCACAATCAACCTGCTATTGGTAAATGCAACCCAGTACTTCCTGCCCAATGTCCTGCTGCCTTGTAGGATT